CTTTACACAATTCGGGGCAAAAAGAACGCTTTAGCGATTAAAATGGATACCGTTTTACGAAGATAATGATAAAAAACATCCTGGGACTGTAACATTATACATGTCATTTCACTAATGGATCTATACAGAACAGACACTCGTGCCTCGTTTGAGGCGTTTGGAAAGCAATCGAAAAGTGGTGGGTTCGATTCCCGGTGTTGAGAGGATAGGGCGGATACCCTTAGGAAACTTACTCTTTATTCAAGTTCTTCAATTCACTCTGCCGCAAAAGGGGGAAAACAAAATCGGAAAGAGACGAGAGAACAAAAACGATTGTATAGGCGTAACTGTAAGCAACGCTCTACATTTCCGAGGAACTAATAAAATATGCTGGAAAGAATGGGCCGGCCGAATGTGATGTCAAGAATCAGTATGAGCAGTTTTCCAGCAGAAGGATGACACTATTATAAATCGTTACTGGATCGGTATTAGTTATAGTAAGAGATTTACGGCACTTGCAACACAGTCAGATCACATAAGTGCCAAAATCGAGGGGTTACTAAAAAGTAACATAAAAAGAAAGAAAGGAGGAGAGATACGTTTTGTTTTAGTAATAGTTTTTCGGCACTTGCAATACAATTAGATCATACAATAAGTGCCGAAGAATAGATGTTTTATACGAGAGAGATAACAAACACACACCAAAAAAAGAGGAGAGGTACGGGCGATATATGTTTGACATGAAAGAAGGAACAACCCATACCAGCGCACCCGCCAACCATCCACTTACTGAAACAATAATTATTTTTAGAATTTTCCCCACGGAATGAATTAGTGACACAGCCTTGACAACAAAGTCACGCAAGTTGTGACGTGGCTGTCCGGAGTCAACACGACAGGCATGGCCTGGAATTGGTGATGAGCCTCCAATTTTCGTCAGCAGACCCCTCGAATGGCGGTAATGACCAATTTGGCAAAACTTTCCCTGGGAGGACATGTAGTGATGTTGTCAGGTACGACAGCTCCAGTATGGGTGATCTAACGGTTCAACGCGTATACCGACGGCGGAATTTTCGACCTTCCGCCTGTCACGGAGAATAATGCCGTAGCTTGTCCCTGCTGGCTCAGCTCAATGAATGAGAAAAGCAGAATTTCACTGTTTTATGGCACAAGACCACATCTCTTCTTTTTCTACTTTTCCTCCTCCTCCTCCTCCTCCTCCTCCTCCTTCTTCTTCTTCTTCTTCTTCTTCTCACCCCTCCCAAAGGAAAAGGGGATGGGTGCATTGCCACCGCCCCCTCCTCCTTAACGAAAGAAAATAGAAAATACGCAAAGCAAACCCTAAAAAACCCTAAAACACCGACAGCTCAGTCATGAGGAAAAAGTACACGTATTCATAATAATATTATTATAATATAAATCTCAGGAGTATGAAGTAGAATGCTACGTAATGTTATGATGCACGCCCTCTAGCGAGCGTTCCTGGTTACTCCGTACGCAAGACGGCGGGGGGCTTCTTCTACTACCTGGCTGCTACGCAACCCTAGACACGCACCTCAACTGATCCTCTTGTCAACCTTCATGGCCCATTCCAAAATCACTGGGGCCTCGCTATGCAAATCTGCCCCCACCCCTCCTCCTCATCCTTCCCCAAGCCTACGACTTTCGCATCTCTCATCCCTCATCCCTCTCTGAGAAGCCGCAGGCAACCACGAACGTTTATGACCATCAACGTATTCAAAAAGACTTGAACGAGCTCCATAAAACAAATCGGCGTTTATTCACCTCCCTGGTTAATAGACGGCTCACGTCTGCCCGTACACGAAGGAGACAAACTCTCATACCTCTGCGCACAAATTATTTTTGAAAAAAAATTAATATACAATGTATATTATACATTTCGGGCGGAGGGGTGGGGTGGGGTGGGAGAAAATTTTATCACCTCAGGGAGCGGTCTTCATGAACAGAAGAAAGACATTAAAGTCAACAACTTGACAAACCACCTTGATGGATTTACAAAGTGCAGAGGAAGAGCCACCCCCACCCCTCCCTTTTCTCCCTGAATATCAAAGTGTGTTGTTTCAGTCTAAGCATAAACAATGTCCTAATTTTCACAAATTCCAACCAAACTATCATACAACTCTAGCATTTTAGCGACACAAAATCAAAGAGTCCCCTGCATGACCACCAGCTTTCCCCAGTCCACCCACTAACCCTTTCTTGTACACGAGTGTTCTTACAGCTCTTACTACTCTGTTAAGAAGAACAAAAATCTCAATGGCATTTTGCTAAAACCAGGTTTAAAGCTACCAGTACCTGTTTTGTTTTTGTTTTTTTGTTTTTTTTGTCAGTCCTTTCCGAAGGTCATCCCAGGTAAAGAAACAATGACAAACTAATAAACACACATTTCATACAATGGATTCAAGCCAACCTTAATGGAGCGTTCCAGGCTTACGCGCTTCGTTTTCACACCTCCTTCAAATAGGTTCATGTTTCATGTTATTCATATGGCGGGGCTTGCCAGATAAAGATCATGTACAATC